CTACTTAAGCCTTGGAGGAGGTTCCAGTCTTCGCTGAATCATTCAGTCACCTTGGGTACTGTGAGACAACCATTTTTAGTATTTTCTCTTGTGAACCTGTGTTTGATCAACCTGTGTCTCCCTGTGATTTCAAGGCAAAACCAGGACTCACCTCCAAGAACCAAGACTTGACGAATCGCCTCCAAACTGGACTCATTCCCTGTGGAACTCTTTATCTCCCAGCCGGACACTCTTCCATCAGCCGCCACCTGCAAGATACTAATCAAGATACCTGGAAAATACAAGGATTCACTCACCCGACAGACACTTCGCCTTCCTCCCTGAGTCTGCCTTCGAAGATCCACCTGTAAGAGAAACATTCATTTATCCAAAACAGCTACAATATTCCCCTACCCATCATTAATCTGTCTTCCCCTTTTTTCCCCCCTTCCAGGAACTCAGACTTCCTTTACCCCAGCACTGTAAATAAACTCACTGAACTTTATTCCGTGTCTGTAATCCTTCTCAGCCCTGGTCTGAATTTGAGTACCATTTCTGTGATTATTCCTGACATAATGACTTCTGCTCATTCTAAATTTGTCAAATGGCCTAAATCTCTAAAGTGAAGGAGAATCATTTTAAAATAATAAGATATATCCTGTAGCCATGTTTCTGCAAAGAAGATTTAAATTTGATGTTGATTTGTGTGCACTTTGTAAATCAGAAGATGAATCCCTCGAGCAATTGTATTTTTTTTCATGTCAACACAAAGTCTTTGGTCAGACATCAGAAACTGGATTAATCTCAAACTTAACATTCTTTCTTTTGGTGCTGATTACATTTTACTTTATGTGGATAACTTAAGCTCAGCTTTCTCTGGTTCCATAAATATAGTCGTACTTATAGAAGTACCACATTTACTGTAGTAAGAGGAGGAATAATAAGCCCTCTTTCCTGTTTTATGAACGATTTGAAGTCATACTATTCTTCATTAACACCGATCAACAGAGGACGCCATCTCCTCTGTGGTCCACACTGCACTCAACCACCTGGAGCAGAAAAACTCTTACGTCCGTATGCTCTTTGTGGACTTCACATCCGCCTTCAACACCATGATCCCCCAAACCCTGATGGACAAACTATCCACACTAGGACTAAGCCCCTCCATTTGCAACTGGGTATTTGACTTCTTAACAAACAGACCACAGTTAGTGAGGATCCACAACTTCTCCTCCTCCACCATAACCTTCAGCACTGGCTCTCCTCAGGGATGTGTGTTGAGCCCCCTCCTGTTTACTCTGCTCACGTATGATTGTGCAGCTACCCATCCAGGCTGTCACATTGTAAAGTTTGCAGATGATACAGCGGTGGTGGGATGCATCACAAACAATGATGAGTCCAGCTACAGGCAAGAGGTGGAACACCTGGAGAGCTGGTGCAAAGAGAATAACCTTCACATCAATGTGAAGAAGACAAAGGAGATGATTGTGGACTTCAGAAGGAACAAACACACCTACACCCCCCTGAACATAAGAGGATCTGTGGTGGAAGTGGTCTCCAGCTACAAGTACTTGGGTGTACACATGAATGACAACCTCAGCTGGAGCAACACCACCACCAGCCTGATCAAGAAAGCTCATCAGAGACTCTACTTCCTCAGACGGTTGAGGCGAGCTGGTCTGGGAAGCTCAGTCCTCACCTCCTTCTACAGGTGTGCAGTGGAGAGCATCTTGTGCTCCAGCATCAACGTGTGGCATGGAGGCTGCACAGCTGCAGAAAGAAAAGCTTTGCAGAGAGTGGTGAAGGCTGCACAGAAGTCTGTCGGAGTCAGCCTCCCCACCATCACAGACATCTACACCTCTAGATGCAGGAAGAGGGCTACCTGCATCATGAAGGACCTCACTCACCCAGCACACACACTTTTTGCCCCACTCCCCTCAGGAAGGAGGTTGAGGAGCATTAAGTGTAGAACCACTAGACTGAGGAACAGCTTCTACCCTGAGGCTGTTAGACTCATGAACCTCTAACTAGAATAATCACTGTGAAAAATCACATCATGTTGCTGCTGATCTGTTTCATGTTGCTGCTGATCTGTTTCAATGTTGATGTGTTCATGCGTGCTCATCTGCTCACACAGACTCATGTTCATGTTTGTGCTGATGTTCAATGTTTTTATGTTATGAGTGCTTAGTGTATATTTAGTTGATGTTTTTCTTAGTCATATCTTAGATGTTATTACTGTTTTTTCTTATACATTTTGTTGGATGTAACTGGGACCCTGTGTACATAATTTCGCTCCACCACATGTACCACATGAGGTGCGAATGACAATAAAGAAACTCTGACTGTGATTAAGTAAATTTTAAAAAACTGCAAAATTGCTAGAATCATCTCACAACAGATAAAACTTCATCCATCCATCCACTATCTTTACCCGCTTATTCCATTTTGGGTCACGGGGGTCGCTGGTGCCCATGTCCAGCAATCACTGTGCGAGGGGCGGGGTACACCCTGGACGGGTCGCAAGTCCATCACAGGGCCACACAGAGACAAACGAGACAAACAACCATCCACTCTCCCACTCACACCTAGGGACAATTTAGAGTTACCAATTAGCCTAACATGCATGTTTTTGGTCTGTGGGAGGAAACCGGAGTACCCGGAGAAAACCCACGCATGCACGGAAAGAACATGCAAACTCCACCCAGAAGGCCCCTGGACCGGGGTTTGAACCAAGGACCTGCTTGCTGAGAGGCAGCAGCTCTACCAGTCGTGCCACCGTACTGCCCCAGATAAAACTTGTTTTAATTAAAACAAGTTTTTTTATATGTCACACTCTGTTGATTTTTATTTATAAAAAAAATTTATGTTTATTGTTTTCTCTTTCATTATTTTGTGAAATGTAGTTATGACACCCTTCACGAGTTTGTATTTGTTTATTGTTGCATTGTTCTGTTTTGTGTTTAATAAAATTCATAAAAAAGCATTAAAAAAAACTGATGAGCTTGTCAGCAGGTAAGGGTCGTTTACCTTGGGGACAAATTCAGGTTGTCGATTGGTCAGTTGCTGACACGCCTACTGGATTGATTGATAGGTCGCGCCGTCGAGAATCCAACTCCGTAAAACAACAACAAAAAAGAGAGCTGCAGCAGCGCTGGGAGGAGGCGGGGCGGCCCAAATGCAGCGGCAGCGTAGCTGTCTCTCTGCAGCGCAGGGCTCCAGGAGATAAACAGATATTTTGCTTTTGCCCTCACTGCTCTGGGCCCCTTAGAGATTGTGGGCCCCTGGGCAGTTGCCCGTATGGTTAATCCAGCCTTGTTAGGAGGTCATGGTCGAGAGCTTCAGATCTTTTTGCAAGATATTCCAGGAAACAGGAGCGGAGTAGGAGAAGGCCTTTTAGTCAAGTTCCGACCTCACTGAGGGAACACTGCATGTAATAATGTCCTGAGAGCGCACACTATAGCTGCACTCATGAAGAGACATGTAAGTGGAGATGTATGAAGGCAGCAGAGCAAGAAGTGATTTAAAGATAAAAATGTACCAGTGAGAGTCTGCGTGAAGTTAATGATGACCAGTTAACCAGTGAATACAGGGTGCAGTGGTGGGTACGATACTCATAGCTCGTTACAACACAATCTGTGCCTCATTTGCCCATTCATACAGCACTCTACATCTGTACAAAGAATAATCAGAGCTTTATCACATTCATACACTGATGCAACACATCGGAGGCAAAGAGAGGTTTAGTGTCTTGCCCAGGGATACTTCGGCATGTGATTGCTGGTGGAATTGAACCCCCAACTCTCGCATTGGAGGACGACTGCTCTAACCACTCAGCCACAGCTGCCTAAAACCACACACTGCATTTTAAGGGACTCTGTAGGATTTCCAGTTCTTCTCCTGCAGCTTTTGCTACTCTAGAAGGCACCAACATAACCACAACCAAATACTGTTGTCCTAATGAGCTGCAGGAGCTGTTCATGACTTCTGTCTGACTCAGGTGCATTATCTGCCAATTGGTAGTTGTTTTTTTATGACCTCTACAGTATTCGTTGTGCATTGTGAATATTAATCTCTACTTCTCCGTACTGTAGCTCTGACTCCTGCGTTCCTCCCCAGCCTTGGATCTCCCTTGTTTCTCCTGAGCCTCCTCGTGATCTTTCCAGCCATATCTTGCTCTCCAGGGTTCCAGTTCGGCCCTGCTGAGACTTCATACTGTTGACGTATATTCACTTATTGGAAATAAACACTATTAAACTTGCCTCAGTCTTGGAGTCACTATTCTTGGTTACATACTGTCTGGGTATAGAGCTAAACCTTACAGACTCACTGTAGACTATGAGATGAACATAAAACAGGTTTTTCTGATAAATGAAACAGCTTGGAAGAGTTAATTCCTGTAGTCTTCAAGATAAACTGATAAGTGAATCTGAAATGCTGGTAAGCACTCAGTGTAAACAAAGGAATTTTATTTACATATTTTATTCAATAAATCTGACTGAATCAGTACATTAAAACTGTCAGACTACTCTATTCCAAATTGCTCTGGAACATCACCAGCATTGATATTACAGTAGGAACATTAATCAACTCTTTTCTGGGGCATCTTGATAAAAGTGGAAGTAGGAAGGTTTAAAAGAAATAAGAATGGTAAATGGACTGTACTTATATAGTGCCTATCTTATTTCAAGGTACTCAAAGTGCTTTACAATCTGTGTCCTCATTTACCCATTCATACAGCACTGTACTAGATCTCTACAAAGCTAATTGAACAAATCATTCTAAAGAGACTAATCAGTGCTTTAGATAACTTTCATACACTGATGGGACACACATCAGAGGCTATGAGGGGTACAGTGTCTTGCCCAGGGACACTTCGACATGTGACTGCTGGTGGATTCGAACCCCCAACTCTCGCATTGGAGGAGGACTGCTCTAACCACTCAGCCACAGCCGCCCAGAAGAAGAAAAAACACCAGGAACATTTAAAAAACAATCTACAGTACAAATCATTTCTTTCATTACAAAATGTACTTCTTATCTAAAAACAGTGCAACACAAAACAAAAAGGATTTCAGAAATTAATAACTTCATGTTACTGAAGAAGATCATACAGGAAGTGGATTGATTGTCCTGTAGGAAATGCAGACTCCATAATTAAGAGAATATATATGTTTTCCATCCATCTATCCATCCATCATCTTTTACCCGCTTCTTCCATTTTGGGTCACGGGGGTTGCCGGTGTCCATGTCCAGCAATCACTGTGCGAGGGGCAGGGTACACACTGGACAGGTCGCAAGTCCAACACAGGGACACAGAGACAAACGAGACAAATAACCATTCACTCTCTCTCACACCTAGGGAATATTTAGAGTTACCAATCAGCCTAACATGCATGTTTTTGGTCTGTGGGAGGAAACCGGAGTACCCGGAGAAAACCCACGCATGCACGGAGAGAACATGCAAACTCCACCCAGAAGGCCCCATGACCAGGATTTGAACCAAGGACCTGCTTGTTGAGAGGCAGCAGCTCTACCAGTTGCGCCACCGTGCTGCCCTATATGTTTTCATTTTACTATATTTACTTTGATAATATTAATAACAGCTTCTTGCAGAAAGCATGAGAAAGTCATTTTGACATTCCAGCTGTGTTTTGGCTGAAAAATGTTACAACACAGCTCAATATCAGTCAGTATAATCTGAAACCTGGTTTCTCAAGATGAATTTACATGTGATTGATGTACTTTCTTCAATTTAAGCATAATTTGAGTTTGTGTGCCTTCTTCCTTCATCCTCTCCTCTTCCTCTCCATCTGCTGTCCTGCCAGATGTTTCCTCCTGTGTCTGTGTGAGGCTCCTTTCTTCTTTCTCATCTTCTTTATCTTGGTCTCCCTCCCAACGCTTTGTCTTTTGGTTGTTTCTCCTGCACCACAGGAGGAGAGCTCTTCTGCATCTTCTCCTGAATGATGGGTCACAAGCAGCGTAGAGGAGAGGGTTCAGGCAAGAGTTGAGGTATGCCAAACAGGTGACATATGGGTGGACAGCCAGCAGAGTCTGGTCCAGTGTGCATGAATACGGGAGGAACTCAAACTCCAGCAGCATGGACACTGTTTTATTAACATGCAGAGGCAGCCAGCACAGAAAGAACGCCAGCACTAAAGTGACAATGACCCTGAGGAGCCTGCGCTGGCGCCTGCGGTCAGGATGAGGGCCATGTTTGAAGTGTCTGTTGAGCAGCCGGGTCAGTGAACAGTAACAAAACAGTAAGACAATGAGAGGCAGCAGGAAGCTGATCAGAGTTGATTTTAAACTCTAGGCAACTGCCCACCTCATCTCTGCTCATTCTGATTCAGCCTCTTCCAGCTCTGTTCCGATCAGCAGGGAGTAATCCATCTGGCATGACAGAACAACAGATCTGAGCTCATCGTCCTCAAGTTCCACCTATAGATAGGTGATACCGATAGAGCGCAGCAGCAACCCAGGAAGAGCCAGGGTCCCAGCCACAACCCAAACCCCTTCAAGTATCCACACAACCCTATTGGGACATCTCTGTGGGAGGTGGGGGCTGAATCGCTGGCGTCCAGTCAGGACCCAGTACCTCTCCACGCTGAGCATGCTCAGGCTAAACACACTGGCGTACATGTTGAGGGCAGTGAGGAAGCTGCTGATTTGGCAGAGGGGTTGCCCAAAAGGCCAGTGGTAGCCCATGGCTGTGTAGGTCGCCCACAGTGGAAGAGTCACAAGGAAGAAGAGGTCAGCCAGGGCCAAACTGGCTATCAGAGAGTCAGTCAGGGAGTGAAGGGTAGAGGGGGGGTTGGAGTGTCTGCAGCTTTGTCCCGAGGAATCACTACAGTTGTCTCTCTGAAGATAAACCATCCTGCCCCCCTCGCCTCGGCACAGGTAGAGCCAGAGCACCAGGCTGTTGCCAATGCAACCCATCAGGAAGGCCAGCAGGTATACAGATGGGACGATGAAGTAGGAGGGAGACCAGTCGCTGTAGTCACAGTGGAAGGATGGGGCAGTGGAAGTGGGGAGGGAGAGGACATCTCTGTCAGACATCTGACTGTTACTGTTGCTCTTTGATAAAAGAGATCCAAATTCCAAGACTAGTTTGTTCCTGCTATCTGTGAAAAGTCAGTGAAACACAACTGGTTACAATTTAACAAAAACTTTACACAAGCATCAGCTACACAAATTTAAAGGGTGAGTGCATTATCTAGTGTTTTTGAAAAAAATAAAACAAAAATCTAAAAACTGCTGTGCTGTTTCCATAAATGAAAGTTGTTGGGTTAATTTGACCAAATTTTGGGTCAAATAATTTGTCCCAGTGGTTCAGTCTGAGATGAATCATTTCATGCTACATACTTTCACTGGGATCAATTCTTAGAAAGCATGGGATCTTTTTTCATTGTTACGCTGACAATAGATCTATATGCCACTATAAAAGAAAGATGCCCCTTCAATTAGGCCACTTCTGTTGTGTCTTGAAGACATCAAAGCCTGGATGTCTTTAAACTTCTTAAATTTCAATGAAAAGAAAACAGAAGTGATGGTGTTTGGTCCTAGTGGCTCTTGTGAACTTTGCCCTGTGGATCTGGGCCTTCTGGCACCACATGTAAAGAAAACTGTTTCTAACTTGGGTTTTAAAATGGACAGCGATTTTAAATTAGATTCCCAGATTGGAGCGGGGGTCAAGACCAGTTTTTATCACCTCAGAGAGTTGGCTAAGGTAAAGCCCATCCTTAAACAACAGCTGGAAACCGTAATCCATGCCTTTGTCACCTCTCGGCTGGATTACTACAATGCTCTTTACCTTGGAGTGGGCCAGTCCCCCCTCAGACGCCTCCAGTTGGTCCAGAACGCTGCTACTCCGCTTCTAACTGGAGTTCAAAAGAGGGAGCACATCACCCCCCACTCTGGCTTCACTCCACTGGCTGCCTGTTCATTTTAGAGTTCATTTTAAGATTCTTTTATTTGTTTTTAAAAGTTTAAATGGTCTTGCTCCATCCTACCTCTCTGAGTTGCTTCACCCATACTCTCCTGCTCGGTGCCTCAGATCAGCTGATCAGCTGCTCCTGGAGGTGCCGAGGTCTAAACGGAGGCTGTTGGATTTCATATTTTTATACCTTTTATTATTTCCTATCAAGCAT